AAATTCTTTTACCAAAACCAATAACGATGACTCTTAAATCACTGAATAACACAACCTAAATACAAACATGCAAAGGGTAGCAGACAATAGGGTGATCCAGGACTCTCAAGATTAACTTTATAAATCTTATTTGTTTTTAATTTCTGCATAGGAATTTTTGTGGCACAACTAATTTGTAACTGACCTATTTGATAATATGCTAACATCCACATTACAAATGAGCTTCTGAACATTTATATTCAGCACCAGAAACATTCTAAAAGCACAGCAGGTACTAAGCTGTCATTTGCTGTTCAATATATTACTGAAATATTTCCTGCAATCTTGGCAGATTCAGAGATAAATTCGCTATATGGCATTGAGTTGGTCTACCTATGTTGCTAGAGGCAGTTGGCAATTCTTTGCCTTAAAGGAGGTATGGATTAGCTCAGTTATACTCTCTGGGGCCTAATGGGCTGGCAGACTGATGAGGCTGCAAGAAGTTCAGACATAATGTAATTGCATCTCTCTCACTCTTTTAATATATATCAGCAATTACATGTTCGGTATTGTACCAATGATAATCTGTCCTTTTTCCAAGACATAATGTGGCCAAGTATTATACTATATAAGGTTTGTCCTCCTTTAACTGGCTGCAAATTTGCTTCCCTCCCCATCATCATATTATATTTGTGAGTACTTTCAGAGGCCTATAGGAGTCTTCCTTTATGTCCATTATTACTAATTTTTCTTATTGTTATCCCTAAAAGAGGGATTGTTTCTTGTCCTCTTTGTATATCTGTATCACATATAATCTATACCACTATTAATTTTAAAATTCAGTAAAAGCCAATTAAAAAAAATATGCTTAGTTACACTACTAGTACAGACTTTAAAAAACCTAAATTTCTCTTCTGGTTAAGAAGTTCTTCTTGTCTAGTGTCTCACATCAGATCTTCACTTCACTCACATGGCCACAAATCTTATTAAAACTTTTAATTCATTTCTCTGACCTCCCCGTGCAAATCCTCCTGTCTGTAAAGCTCCAGTTACCGTGTCTAAAATTCTTGCTTGTCTTGGTCTTTTCTATCAGGTATACAGCCAGGATTTATACATCTTGGAACAACCCCTATTGTAGAAGAACTGGTTCACCAACAGGACTAAAAGCTCCAAAATTGCAGCTGACAGCTGATAGTAGGCAAGGCTGACACCCAGTGGCTTCTCTCTTCAAATTCCTCTCTTCACATTTTCCATCCCCACACTCCCCTTCATCCCTTCACATCACTCCATTTTACATTCCTTTTACCTTCTTCCCACTGCAAAAGAGCAACACGGGGTTCAGTTTTACCATCCCTATAGACTAGGGGCATCCCAAAATGTTTTCATCTTCATTGTCAGGAGATAGGAGTAACACCTTGTGGAAATATTTACATGCCTGTCCCAATACAGAACTCTTGGAAGGGGGAGGAAAAAAGATGAACATCAACGCTGAACTTCTCTACAGAGCAGAAGCCAGAGAACATCAATGTTTTCAGGAGCACTCTCCTGCTGCAGGCATTTCAAACCAGCCGTAGAGCAGGAAATGTGACTGCACACATCAGTGCACTCCGAGGTCTGGTCTGCAGGAAGTCTCTGGAGTGAAAAAGACTGAGCCTCAGTGTGTAGCCTAGGCAGAGATTGATCTGCACCTCCTCAGGCCTCTGGGAGCCTCGGACATCTAAACTGGCCATTTCCACTGATGGCTCTGCTAAAACCACATTCACATCTCAATCCTATCACTTCTGAATGCTATCCATTCTCTAATATCTGATCTCTAAAATTCAGCCATACTATTCCTTCCTAAAATATTACCATACCCATCTTTTTTATCTGCCTATATCATCTCCTATTTCAATTAAAATACCACTCAAGATCTGACAGTATAGTCACCTATTCTCCAATCTGCCAGTATTGGCCTCTCTCTGCTTCTTGTAATTTTCCAGAGTTCAAGGTCATTGATATGCCTGTTGTGTCACATCTGTGAGGAACTCATTCCACATCCCTCTGAGATGCTGACTGATTTCTTTAAATCTCACCTCTAAATCCGTCTGTTTTCTTTAACATATGACTCACGGTCTCTAAAAATATGATTAATTTTAATTTTATATTACATGTTTCTTAAAGGATATTGGTGTTGTAGAAGCAAGAAATACTTCAGATACTAATATGACTGAGGAGTAGGGATCATGCAGAGTACTTTCCCACAAGATGGCTGCCTATCCCTTTCATATTCACTTGGTGGTCTGAGTTTTACAGACCCCCTACTGAATATTTACAGATATTGTTGGCAATTTGTAACCTTCTGATTCTCCAGGTGGAAACTCCCTCCAGCTCCTAGCTTCAATGGAATACATGGTCTGATCCCACTAAAACCATGATGGGCAAGAATCAATCTACAGACACAGTCACTCCAGATAGAGCAGCAGATGAAGTGAAAAACACATTATACTCCCTAATGCAGCTGACAGACTGATTGGAGGAAACAGATGCCATGAGTTTGTGGTTTCCTAGCAACTTTGTGATAGCTGGGGCAGCTCCTGATTCCTAGTGAGATTCCTGAGTAACAAGTAAAGATGTACATGGTCTCGAGACAGCTGTTGCAGCAGCAAAGGGAGTTTCCCTTAGTTAGATGTTCTTTGGCACGATCAGGCTACTTACAGCCCACTCCATGGCCAACTACAGGGATGCAGCTGCATCAGGCACTTGCTGTACATCTGAGGAACACATACTTCAGCTCTAGACTAAGAGGCCAGATGACAGGGCCCTTTAAGACAAAGAGTAAAGTGAAGGGAGAGTTCAAAGAGAGGATATCAGAGAAGAATAATAGAAAGAATGGTAGGAATGGCAATAATCCAGGAGTTTAAACTGGTTGTAGAAATAGACTAGCATCTACTTTATGACTAGAATTTGAATTCATTCTGATTCTTGGTATAGTCATGGTTGTAGCAGACAACTGTGCCTTGCCCTATTATAGAGACCCTTTTAAATATTAGCCCCTATTTTCTGGCATTTTTCAGGAAAAAGATTCCTTGTGCTTATATTTCTCAGAGTGGTTTTGAGCCCAAAGGTGATATTTTTTAAAAAGCAAACATTTGATAACATTATATTTTCCCTTGTAATGTTTCTAGGTGTGAAAGTATGTTTTTCCCTTTATAGTTGACTGAAAATGTAAATCATAAGAATTTAAGTAAATGTTGGGTTCTATTTGCCTTATGGTTTCTTAGTCTTTAGGGTGCACTCAGGTCCTGTTTTCAAGCTTTTCCCCTTCCACAACCATAAGGACTAGAAACTGACTCTCTCAGAAAAGGAAAGCTGTGATTCTCACTTGATCATGGGACTGCAGAAGGTGAGACTTGATGAAAAACTTCAAATATGAAACCTGTGATAAAATCATGGTAGTTGGCAGCACACTATAGTCAGTGCAATATTAATTAGGTGTATGCATATATCACACACACAATGTTTGAAGTGTTTTCATAGCCACATAGATCCCAGGGTAGAAACACATAGTGAGGGAGGTACCTTATTTTATTGGACCAACTTCTGTTGATGAAAGACAAACTTTCAAGCTTACACACTGCTTTTCTTCAGACACAAAGCTTCCCTCTCTCACCAACAGAGATTGGTCCAATAAAAAATATTACCTCATCTCCCTTATTCCTCTAATATCCTGGGCTATAATAATACATATATAGAGAAGCACATTTTCACTCTTACACATAAACATCAATACCATAGGACTAATCTGTAGAGCCTTGCAAATCTGTGGATATCCACTTTACATCCATGGGTATCTGCATTCATAGATGTGGGGTGCAAATATCCATGGCACATTTTTACAGATACAGTTGTGGATACCAATTTTGTATCTAGAGTGCTGGAAATTTGCATATATAGTGCATCTGCTTTATACCTGTGGTTATGGATACAGATATCCACAGATCATTTTTGCAATGCCGATACCAATTTTGTATCTACACAATTCTCTACCAATCTATGTCTCAGGGAATACAAGGACATAAGGAGACCATCATGACCTCTTAACTCATGGGCCGCTCACCCACATGTTGGGTAGCAGTGAAGGAGGGCAACCTCAGTAGACCCCACAGGGACCAATACAAATTGGACAAACAAGCATGTGATTGAAGGCTGAATTACTGATGATAGTGAAACAGGGGCTTCAGAATTTTCTGATTTGTGTTTGTGTCTAAAAAAAATCTATACCAAACTGTGGAATTAGCATTTTTATTATGGATTTAATTTTAGAAAAAGTCATTTTGAGCACCATTTTTGAGATGCAAACTTTTTTATACCTTACCTTCTCTAAAGAAAATGCTACAAATGTAAATCTAAAACCTAGTTAAAATTGCAATGGGCCAGAAAGTACAACAAAGCCTATTTTGTTTGCAAGTATGCAAATAGGATAAAGGGAGAATGGATGAAGGAAAAAATATTAGATCAACTCCTGAGATTTGCATATTATTTTTTATAACTCTTGTCTTGTCATTACTTCCCTGACCAATACTGTCTACCCATAAGCACTATATTTTACTTTGAACTCTTTGGTATAGGAACGTGGTCTTATTTGTAAGAAGCAGGTATATTTTTAACATTCTAAACAACGTTGCTTAATAACAAATAGCCCTTAAAAATTACAGTAATTCGCCAATCAATTCAATATGTACAATATTCTCTATCACCTCTTTGAGGATACCAAAGTACTCTATAAATGTGAACTAATTAAGCTTTTTACTATATTCACATCCTCATATATTGTGAGAATATTTGCTTTCAGCTGCTGTTGCCTGATTCTATTTAATTATGGTAGGTGTCACCTAAAAATGTTACAGTTGTAAAATAAATACATATGCAAGTTAACAACAGTAAGATGTATATTCCAAAGCAAAAGAGTAAAGTTTGCACATCCATCTCTTTCCCATTTTTTCTGATGCTCAGAAAATAAAAACGTAAGTGGTACTCACTCCTGTTAGGTAGCGAGGTCTATACTGGATGGTTCCAAATAAGCCAAGTATGACTATAATAATGTGCACAAAATTTGCCAGGATTGGTGCCCACTGATACCCAAGGAAGTCAAATATCTGCCTCTCCAGCACACAAACCTAGGATTAAAAAACAACAAAATGCACAGATTAGAACAAGTCAGAAAAAATAGATAAGACAACATATTCCCTCCCCAAAACACAAAAATTGCCCTGAGTTTAAAACTAGTTCAGTCAGCAATATAATGAAATGAATTTGCGAAGTTTTACCTTTTGGTTTTAGTGAAAGCAGCATTTCCTCATTGATAGCCTACTGAGTTATATTCAGTTTGCTAAAATATTAATGTGGGAGATTATGCCAAGATACCAGGCCCTTTTCACAGGGATGTTGTGTATGCAGCAGAAACAGCACAAATCATTTTGTCATATACACTGGCAAATGCTGTATTTTTATAGTGGTGCTGAAAGTCAGTGGTAGTTTAAGACTTGAGCTCAACGAAATATTTTCAGCTGAAACTTTTTCAATAAAAAAATGCATATTGGATCAACTGATTCAGTTAAATGATTTCCAAACCCATGTTGATTCTGGCAAAGTGGTTTAGTGAAAACATAAATAGGTGATTTTTCCCAGAAATGCTGAAGTGATTAATCTAGACACTATCAAAATGAAACATTTAGATTTTTCAGGATAAAATCACAATGGATAGAAACCATTCACAAGAATTGAGGAGGTGGTGTTTGCTTACCTACCCTCCCAGGATCCTGGTAGTTAGGGCACTCACCCCCAATGTAGGAATCCCAGATCTGAAGCTCTCTTTGGTGTGGGGATGGAAACCCAGATCTCCTCTTTCCCAGGTCAGTGCCCTTACTGCCCAACTACTAGATACTCTAGGGTAGGACTCACTCAATGTCTCCTGTGGAAACTGTTCCCATTTGGTATAAATAATTAAATATCCATTGGTGAAAGAATGAAAACCTGGAAATGCCCCTCCCATGTGATTAGTCTAACCATCAGATTTAAGAGTCTCTTTCTCTCTTGGAAACACTTGAATAGTCATTGGACCAAAAGAGAACAGCCTCAAGAGACAGACCCACACCAGAATAGTCTATAGTCCAAAGATTAGCCTAGAGAATGGATTTGAACCTGTCTTCCCCACATGACTTCTCTAACTTGTATGGGATAAAAGGTATAGCATCTCCTCTGTTTTACAAATCTAGCTTTTCATTGCCTTCGCTTTTATTAATAGAATTTAAGCATGGACAATGTCTAAACAATTATTTTATCCCCCCATAAGTTCTATTTTTTGTATTTGCCCTCTTCTCCTCTCCCCTCTTCCCCTGAACTTCTAGGAAAATTGATAAGTTATTTGTATAGATTATCTCCTGAAGAGCTTTCTTCCCATCTGTAAGCCTCATCCTTCAATCTCTTTCCTCTCTCTCCTCCACTGCAGAACAGATAAAGTCTGTTTTTTCCTAATGTCTCCCTTCTGACACGGTAGTTCTCCCTACTCCCAAATACTTACCTGCCTTCTGTTTGACTGGCTACAGATATATACATTTTTTCCTTCCTCCTCACGTGACTCTGCACATACATAGTCATGTGCTACCTCTAACTTCTTTTTCATATCTGATAATGTTATAAAGCAAGACTGTATTCTGGCATTTCCTAACTTTTGAGTACTTGATTTTGCAAACTTGACATTCTTGACCTTCTTAAAGGATTTGCTTGCTGTTTGGGGGGTATTTTTACATTACACACAAATTATAAAAATGTTATGCAAATCAAATACAAAAATGCATCACTGGCAGGAAATAGCTCACCAAATCTTAATGTCACCACTGCTGAAAGTTTCACAGCAAATATGAATAGCTACACAATCGTCAAGACCCTGGGTAGGCAAAATATGGCCCACATGCTGGATATGGCCCACCACCATCACACGATCCTGCAGGGGCCTCAGGCGGGCTCCCTTCCTGCCATTCCCCCCTGCCACTCAATGCAGCCAGCTGTGTGTGTGTGTGTGGGGGGGGGGAGGTATCACACACTGCATCCACAACCTCTCGCAGCTCCCATTGGCTGAAAACTGGCCAATAGGAACTGCCAGGACTGTGCTTGCAATGTAGGCAGCATGGGGGGAACCCATGGGGAGACACATATCTCCCACAACTGGCTGCTTTGGGTAGTGGTGCTGGGCATGGCAGGCAGGGTGCCTGCCTGGGGGTCACACTGGGTTGTCTAACATGAGTGCATCCCAGCCAAGACCTGTACCTGGCACCCCACACTCCAAATACCTCCCCCAGGTAAAAAAATCAAACCCCCTGCATCCCTGACCCAGGTCACAATCCAAACCCTCTACATCCCCTCCTAAACCCCTGCTCTAGGTCACTACTTCCTCCCATAGTCTGGAGCAAAATACAGGACTATGTAGCACTTTAAAGACTAACAAGATGGTTCATTAGATGATGAGCTTTCATGAGCCAGACCCACTTCCTCAGATCAAATAGTGGAAGAAAATAGTCACAATCATACATACCAAAGGATACAATTAAAAAAAAGAACACATGTGAAAAGGACAAATCAAATTTCAGAACAGAAGGGATGCAGGGGGGGGGGAGGTAAATGTGAGCTAATGATATTAGAGGTGATAATTGGGGAAGCTATCTTTGTAATGGGTAAGATAACTAGGCTACGTCTACACTGGCCCCTTTTCCGGAAGGGGCATGTAAATTTCAGCAGTCGTCGTAGGGAAATCCGCGGGGGATTTAAATATCCCCCGCGGCATTTAAATAAAAATGTCCGCCGCTTTTTTCCGGCTTTTAAAAAAGCCGGAAAAGAGCGTCTACACTGGCCCCGATCCTCCGGAAAAAGCGCCCTTTTCCGGAGGCTCTTATTCCTACTTTGAAGTAGCGGACATTTTTATTTAAATGCCGCGGGGGATATTTAAATCCCCCGCGGATTTCCCTACGACGACTGCTGAAATTTACATGCCCCTTCCGGAAAAGGGGCCAGTGTAGACGTAGCCCTAGAGTCTTTGTTAAATCCCCGCGCAAAGTGTCGAATTTTAGCATAAACAACAGTTCAGAGGATTCCCTTTCAAGTGCAGTTTTAAAAGGCTTTTGAAGCAGGATGCAGGTAATTAAGTCGTTGAGACAGTGTCCTTTCTGGTTGAAATGGCAAGAAACTGGTTTTTCTTTGTGATCCTGTCTAATACGCTGGACTCACTCCTGCACCCCTCCTTCAGGTCAGAATCTTGTCCTGCACCCATACCCCTTCCTGGACCTTGCACTCCCCTCCTACACTGTATCCCCTACCCTGAGCTCTCTTCTGCACCCAACCTCCATCAATAGTATCACGGAAGAGTGCATGAGATTCATTTTTTAGAACTATTTATGTGACCCACAGAAAAATCAGTCAGAGGCCAGGGGCTGCAGAGAGGTGGGTAGGGGGCTGAAGTGCCAGCTCAGGCTCCTCAGTGCTTGGGGAGGCCCTAAGGTCCAGGCAATTCAGGGGTCACATTCAGCTTCCAGGTCTTAGGTCCCTATCCTTGATTTACATCATTGTAAATGCAACCCAAGTTAGGGCAGTTGATGACCCTATCAAACAAAAACATTTGAAGTAATTCAATCAGAATAAGAAAAACAAAGCAGCTGTTTGACTCAATTAGGGACACCTTTCAGAATTCAGCAGAATGCATTAACTGGTGTAGTGATAGTTCATGAACGTGCAGGTCTATACACTGATGCATGTTCAGAACTGCATATCAAAAACCATGAATAAAATTAAATTCATCCTCCAGGGGGGGAAAAAATCCCCAACCACATTTATTTTTCTAGACAATTTTGTCCAGTGAGAATTCTGAGCAAACTTTATGAAATCCATTACAATCCAGGATTTTTTTTAAACAGCTGCTCCTATATGAAGTTATAACTCCCCCACAAAATCTGTTGGTGAATATCTACTCAGTATATAAAAGGCAGTGGATCAATTGAGTTAGGTGTTTTTGTCATGAACGCTTTTAGCTAATTTAAAAGTTAATATTGGTGTCTGAGATTAAGTGCTAGCTGAATAATTAATTTTAGTTGGCTGCAGTTCTTTAGGTTGTGCAATTCATAGGCAGTATTTTCTTGTCCACAGAGACACCCAAAAACCAATATAAAACAAGGCCTTACTAAGAAGTTACTAAATATATATACCACCATTAAAAGGACACCATTTGCCAATCACTGCCACACAATGGTAACTGAGATACCATACATTTCCCCCAGCTTATAGCAGGAAAGTGTAACTATATGGTGCCTTTTGACAAAAGCTGATCTTTTAGCCTAGAATTTTTAAAGGAACCTAAGGTAGTCTGGCATCCTAATCCCATTGAAGTTCATATTCCTTTTAAAATCCCAGCTTTATTGGTGACCCCTGAAATTCTTCCTCTCTAGCTACAGGTTATCACTGTACAGTCAATCAGATGAATAGCCAATTTTTTTGTGCTTCACATTTTACAAGAGTGTCATGGACTAAGCTAGAAAATAATTGTTTTTAAGGTACCCGAGATTCTGCAGATCCTGTTCACATCATCTTCAGAAACACAATTTCAGCAACACGTCAGAAGGATTCCTAAAGAAGCAAAGTGAATGTGCTAATTGTAATTGCAGTGATGTGACTAAAAGACCAAGCTGTCTTAGAAATTTCACACCATCCTTGTCCTCTGAAACCTCTAAATGCTGCATTATAAAGTTGCTTCAACTATTAATTTATATTTTAACACTTGAAATAAATGAGATCCATCTGTGACTATGCAGGTCTGTGTGAAATCCTGTAAAGGTAGCAACAAAATACCTGTTACATCTAGAATACTCCTATTAACCATCTAACAAAGGGAAAATGTTCATTCATAACAGAGAGCTCTTATCTTCATCAACTGAAAAAACAGTAAAACAAGAATTGCAAAGCACTTGTAAGAAGAAAATAAGCTGTACAAACTTCTACTAGAGTAACTACAGAGAATCAGTTACAAAATACAGAGGGGATGAGACAAATCATTCTAACAGTAGGAAATCTCACAGATAAATGCACCAATTATAGAATAAAATAGTACCATAGTTCATTATAAAAAAATAGGGAA